AAACTTGCATTTTTTGCCAAACCTTATTTTTCGTGAAAAAGGCTTTTGCTCAAAAACCACCGAAGACTTTGCCCAAAGTCGAAAAAAATTTGGCTGTAGAGGTAACTTTAGGTGCTCTTTCGAGTCAGCCTACTCATTTAAAAAATTAAATTTCGACGGCACCAAGTCTATGATGTTTTGGGTGGTGTACTCATGGTCTCTCTCTTAAAACTCGGAGTAAATTAAAGTAGGAGCTTTTTCTGAATGGATGTCTACACTTTACAGTACGCGTCACATCTAGCATAATTTCCTCAGCGCCAAAAGATATAACGATGATTTGGATGAAGTTCGTCCAAGTCTACTCGTTAACACAGATCTTTGTGATTCCTCTTCATTTTGACCTCTCATTACTAGGGGTGGCACTTTAACTTTATTATACTTTGAAAAAGTAAAGTAAAGTAAAGTAAAAAGTTTTCTTTACTTTATCGGGTGAAGTAAAGATAGGATTAATCACTTTACTTTACTCAGTAAAGTAAAGTCGAGATACTTTACTTTACCGAATAAAGTAAAGTTGACATACTTTACCAAAAAAAATAAAGTACAGTCACATAGATAAAACTCACAATTCTAAGCAATATTCTACTTTACTTTACTTTATCCAGTAAAGTAAAGTGACTAATTCTACCTTTACTTTATTCGATAAAGTAAAGTAACTGACTTTAGTTTACTCAGTAAAGTAAAGATAAAGTACTACCCCTACTCATTACATCTAAGTTCGTCTTGCAAAGTATGATGACAGTAGCTATAATACAGACTTATAAATAGTGTCCTACAGGAACGACTTTGCTCTATTCCCTTCACAGGTGCGTGAGCACCGATACAAAATGTACACACATCAACAAATACTGTTCTCTATTCCACATGCTAAATCATATACCCTCAATGAAGATAATACTAAAGAAAAAGAGAATTCATAGCATAAGAAATCGCCGAATGAGGGCGAGGGCGTACCACTGACAAACACGAGAGTCAAAACGAACCATTCCATCTTCCGAGGGCAGGTGGGGGTGTCCCCCACCTACATGTGCAACTTTCCAAAACAAGCACAAATATCTTGGAACTTGTGATATACATAATCATGTACTAACTAATATATGAGTCATTCTATGTAAGCCGGGCCCAAAATGTATAGACAGCTGCTCAATCGAGGTTCTCAGAGCTGCCTCATTTCTATATGTGGTAGAGGATGGTGTTTAAGGATTTTGGCGCAAGCCGATTTGTTAAATATTGGTTCCACTAGATTTTTTAAGCATTTTACGAAAGCACTAAAAACAGGAAAAAACAAAAATTCGGGGTACAAATTGGTCCATATCTCATGAATGGCTCAGCGAATCTAGCTGAAATTTTCTACAGATATATACCCTAGTCAGCTGCACCTGTATGAAATTCTCAGCCTTGAATCATTAGTGAGTGGATTTCTGGAAGTCTTCTACGATTTGCAAAAGTCCATTTTTGGAAACGCATTTTCTCCCAAGATATGGTCCCATTTGGGCTCGAGCTTTCATAGGTGAGTAGCACTAGGCCTAGACTACAACCCCAGAAAAAAATCAGCCTGGGATCTCTGAAAACGGTTGATAACGGACGTCGTCTGTTAGAGGGCTTTTCACATAGTTTGACGTGGTGCATGACTATGACGGTTAATTTTGCACCTTTTTTCCTGAAGCCTATGTAACCTTCGACGGAGAATATGATGGCAGCACTCTTTTCCCTTACTTTGGATATTTCCCTCTCCCAAATCTGAAAGCATTGAACCCTGATTGAACATTTTTATACTACTGAGACCTATGCAATTTCTCATGAAAATCTTTCGATGTGGAATTAGTGACGCACCATGATTGTTGCTTACCCTCCACTGATATTCGTTCTTTCGCGTCTGTTCTGCACTAGATGTGCATTAGTAAGAAAGTCAAGCTTGAATCGCATGTTGTTCTGTCTGCTTTGTGTTTTTATATCTTGCGCGATAGAGTTAGAAACGTATTGGGTCATTCCATGGGTAATCAACTACAAAAACGCAAATTTCCTAAATTGTTTTTTCATAATAAGTTTAGTAGAGCTCTTCGAGCTGATCATTTTAGTGAAAATATTCCCCTATCGGTCGATTTTTACACGTTTCATAACCAAAGTACCGGGAAAACCTTGCAAAAATTTTCCAATTTTTTCAACGTGGTTTTTCAGCATTTTGGTTCTAGCACCGTCTATAACTGAGAAATTTCAAAAATTCTTTTATCACAATCATCAGCTCGAAGAGTTCTGGGCAAAATGAGTCAGCGGTCACCCATCTATGAGGAATATTTCATGTCGAAAGTCAAGGGAGTTTGGTCTGTTGATCGAAAACGCATTGTTCAGAGAGTATAAAACATCTGTCATTAGAAGTTAAATGCTTGTCTGTAAAAGAGGACTAAAGTTCTTTTCTCCTTCGACGGCATGCTAGTAAATGAAGGTATTTAGGACACTACAAAGACATTGCTATTAGGTGCTGGTAAATAGATTTCATTGATTCAAATTCGGTACTACTAGTTGCAGTTTTACGGGCTCTTCAAGGACGTGAACTTAACAGAAAGTTCTAATCGTCAGATAGCTCGTGCATCGATTGAAAAAGTATTCTCATTTCTCAAGAAATTCCGTAACGAAAACAACTTGTAATACGTCCTGCTTGCTCGTATCAAATATCAATATCATGAAAACTTCACAGTTTAATAGATGTTGGCAAGATCAATCACATGTATCACTTTCGTTTGATACCAACTACAGTACTGACCAAAATTATAAGAACAGAAAATTAGGAAATATAAAATATTGGCACTCTTTCTATATAAGGTATTTTGTTCAATTCTATCGTCATATATAGATTATGACTTTCTCTTTAAGAATATACTATGAAAGAATTCAAATATTGCATAGACTTAATAACAAAGCTTTCAGCATAATCCCTTTGGGAATTAAAAATGCGAAACACGATCGATCTGTTACAATTATGGTTGTTATGGTCAATATGACCGAGACATCTATTTCCTTCATGTTTAAGTCTTTCGTGTTTCCTTTCCTTTGTTCTTGTTGTTATATATGTTGCTACATTCAATAAAAACAGTTACTTATGCTTCGATAGTAACATCGAACACACGTCTCTCTCTCTCTTCCATAATCGAACATAACAGTGGTGACAGCAGTCAACACAAGAAGAAAGACAATTTCTTTTTTCAATCCGCCGACGAGCGTATAACAAAGGAATCCTTCTTCTTTAGAAGAAGCTGATTCTGTACTAGGTGTTCAACAACGCGATCAAAATCATCATCATGATTAACAATGAAGCATCATCGAGTATCATTGATGATCCGAAAACGATGGAAACGTCAGTTGTTACTCGACAGGTGCAAAGACCACCCATGTCTGACGAATCAATACATGGTCACGTCCCAATGTTAATGGAAGGAGACCGAATGGAAGCCGACGAACTATTTACAGCACCGAACAAGTTTTATGACGAACAACGTCATTCGTCGTCAGAGCGTATTCGGTGTACACAAATGTTTTTAAACGACGAAGGAAAAGAATGGTATGAACAAAACAGAGCCGAAATCAAAGACGATTGGTTATCTTTCTGTGATCGATTGAAGCAACATTTACAAAGCGGTCGACCGATTCGTACACGTTCCTCACCACCAAGTGAAAACATATCAGTGCACAATGAAGATAAGTGTACATTGGTGTTAGCGTCATGGGTTGTTACTACACGACGCTATCGTTTGACATATCTATGTGCACAAGTAACGCTCGTCTAGCGACTCGCTCAGCTCTTTCTCGTAGAAATCGTGCTTTCAGATATTACACTTTAAAGCTATCATTATGTATATTAATTTATTTTTAGTGTAGATTAGATATTTTCACAAAAGCAACAATAGATATTTATACCAAATGTTAAATAGAGCATTAGATATTGTGAAGAAATATCAATACAGTTAGGAAGATTATGGATGATTACATCAAAAAACGAAATTAAGAAAACGCGATAGGCAATATCTGATGCAATGAGAGAAAAGAAACAGTTACTACAATAATTAAGATAAATCTAAAGAAAGAGATAAAGAAATTAAACATGCATCAATAATTACTTTAAGGTAATTTCAAAGTATAATACGTTTTATATGCTTGCAATAACATTAGGCTCTTAGCAAAGTATCGATTTACACATGTTTCAAAAAATGAAAGAGGTACACTCTCGTTTTGTCTTTTTCTGAAGTTCATCTAAACGTTTCAGTTCAGCGTCTTGCGCAGAAGAAGGTTGAACTTGTAGAACCTTCATGTGGAAAGGTCGAAGGATAACTACAGTGAGTACCAAAATTGATCAACAAGAAAACTGTTCTTTCTTGTTAACATTATATCTCAATAACTACAATAGTTAGGTTGATTTTGTTTTATGTTTATAACAGCTCGCGTTACTTAGTATTCATGCACAAAATTTCACACCAATATGTTTCTCTATCCTATAGTTATTAAAGAAACAATTGATAGTTCTAGATTTTCAACGTTCCAAAATTGATCAACAATTTCTTTGTACGATTCTCAGTAAGATTATTTTCACTTATAAGTATTTTTTGAGTATAGTATCTGAAAGAGAGTCAGTTTTAGACCATACCGAAAATAGACTGCAGAAATTGGATAAAATGTAGCACTTTATTTCATTCACTACTCAGATTGATGTTTCAATGATACCATCTGAAAGAGCATCCAAAACTGTATAAGAATCAACATTTGATTAACCCATTCACCACGATGGGGCCCACCGGTGGACCCCACTTTGCATTTCATATTCTAATCTTGAAACACGTTTAATAAGAAAACGGTATAAACCATAAGACGCAGCGCGAAAAGCTCTACAATCCTCATAGTGAAGCTTATTTTAATTGTCTAACTTTTATTTTGAAAGAAAGTAAGACTCTGTCTGACTTGTTTTATAGATTAGAAAAACATCATTTTTTCCCACACGAATGTGAAATTTCATTTTTCTTATNGAATGACCATATAGTTGGAAAGCTTGTTCAGAGCCAACCAACCTTTATAGAGCGCTCTTATCTACCCGCCACTTCAGTTCAGAGCAAAATTCTACGTTTTGATCGAAATCTCAAAAACATTTCCATTTGAGAAATTTCGTAACGGGTGATATTTCTTCCAATAACTTCGCTTTGCGCATAGGAGAATGAATGAAATTTATACCATATAATAGAACTAGTTTGTATCTATACAAAGTATAAATTTTAAGAAGATTGTATTTATTAACCCCTTCACCGTTAACGACGAGTATACTCGTCAGAGCAATTTTATAGAAAAGATGACTACTGTAATTCCTTAATTCTGTTTTCTTTGTGTGCTATGGACCTGCTCTAGTATCCTGCACTTACTGTAGCTAGCTCTACGGATTAGGTCTGCGACAGTTCAAGTTCAATACTTACTACAAACTCCTAATTTTAAATGCACATCAGTTCTAGTTCAAACGAACTGTAACTCCTCAACAGTTCTAGTTTAAAAGAACTGTGATGCTGAGTAAGTTCCTACTCAAAGAACTCGAAATGACCTTGTAGCTTCAAAACTCTGCTATTGTAATGTTTATGTTCTTTATTCGTTCGTTGAGGCGGTTGATATCGAAGAGATATGTATGATCTAATAAGGATCTGCTAGATCGTCGAGTTAAACGTTGTTCAATACCCAGGCCAATCAATCCCGTACTCGGATCCGATAGGAGCCAACATAGGATTTTATCGGATCCTACAGGAATTTGACGGATCCCATGTCGGATCTCATCGGATCCAAAACATGAATTTTCCTGATTTTCTAAGGATCATCAAAGAATATAGCTAGGAAGATCGCTAATAAAATTTGCAAAAACCGACGGAATTTTTCCAGTCCGATTCCAATGCAACTCCGTTTCCAGGAATCCGATCGGATTTTGTCGGATGGTCTGATCCGATCGGATCCAGCATCGGATTTGTTTACCTGGGCGGCTATCAATCACTTCACCTCAATGATAAATCTATTTTTGCAAGAAGTGTTCTAATAGCTTCAACAACAGTTCATTTCGAGTTCTTTGAGTAGGAACTTACTCAGCATCACAGTTCTTTTAAACTTGAATTGTTGAGGAGTTACAGTTCTTTTGAACTAGAACTGCTTAAAAGTCCTAGTTCTATGAACTGAACTAGAACTGCTTAAAAGTCCTAGTTCTATGAACTGAACTGGAACTGCCTGTTAGCGTTTGTGATGAATCACACAACACTAAACTAGAGATTAAGATGGTCCTTCTAGTCTAACTAGATTAGGACATCTGCCCGGATAGCAGAAGGTGTGGGTTCGAGTCCCACGAAGGTCACTTTTTCTCGATTCTTCTCTCTTTCGTTCTCTTTCGCTGATGTC